CTCTCGAGATGTGCTATAAGAATATGCAATGAAAAATGGGGTGTTCCATTTAAAAAAATTAATGTGACCTTGACCTGACCTTCGCTACGCAACCCAAGGTCAAACTGATGTGATCAGTAAATACATCTTTTTAAACGCCACAACTTTTGTCTGAAACATTTTTTTGTAAAACTTATATTTTTCCTGATATTCGGGCGTCCCGGTACTTTCCGAACACCCTGTATATATATATATATATATATATATATATATATATATATATATATATATATATATATATATATGTATATATATAGAATAAGGCTTGAAGAATAGGCAAAGTTTGACTTTACTGGGTTTTTTTCCTTCACTGGGTTTCCCTACAAAAAACTCCAGAAAAGTAGTTTTGCGATCTTTCAAACCAGCTGTCTTGATAAAAAAATTTTTGTGATGTAATTGCGACCTTGGATGGATCGATCAAATGGACTGTGCGACTAGGTTGGACAAAGTGACGGAGCGTTGTACATAAATAAGCATTGAGCAACGCGCCAGCGATCTCTGCGTAAACCTCCTGAAAAAAAAGAAATACGGAGAACCAAAGTCCATTGGCGCGTCGTTTCTTTAATTGGCTGGTGAGAGTGCGGCTATCGTGGCGCGTTGGCCAGCGCTTTGTCGCGTAATATTGATTACTTAAGTTCAATATAATTGATGAAACCGCTCGCGCGATTGATGTTCAATAAACGCGCGCCGTTCTTCAATAAAATGATCGAGCAAAGTCTAGCGTTCGTCGCTTTGCCACGTTCTTTGAACTCGGTGTGCGTTACGCCGCCACTTATTTAGTTTACTCATTCATATTTACGACTAATATATATGCGCACACGTGCATACACACACATTCACACGCAGCGTCGCAACATATTTCGTAACTTGAATATAAAGTTTATTGCTGCTGCGATATAGCGATCGCACATGACAAATCTAATTACTTTTAGAATAGTTTTATTTTTCATATTAAAGATATCTCATGGATAATCGCTCTTCTTAGCAGTAAAATAATAATTTTCTACTATATTCACAAATCTACATATACAGGGTGTCTCACCTAAATCAGGCCACCTAAATATCTCCATCAATTGTGACGATGCAAAAAATATTTTATACCTAAATTGAATAGTATGAAGAGTATGAAGTTGAATAGTATGAAGAGACCAATATGTTGCAAAAAAAATTATTTTTTCAAAGTCATTTTTCTCGATGTTTTTAATGTCATCGATGTTTTTTTGCATATAAATGCATATTTTTTTTATTGCATCGTGTAACTGATGTTAAAATACATTCAGATATGTATATGGCATTACCTTTGAATTGACCTTTGACTCCGAAAATTAAAATGTAAACTAGTGCTATCGCACCACGAATTAGCTCTGAAAGTCTTGAGACTTGATCATTTTCAAGCAATTTATCAGTTTATCGATCTATCGTTCGCGATGAGTTGCTCAAAGCAAGAGAAAATTGAAGGAGATATTTAGGTGGCCTGGTTTAGGTGGGACTCTCTGTATACAAGTTCATCACACACACACACACACACACACACACATATATGTATAAGTTGAAATAAACTTATTGAAAATAACTATTACTTGAAGAAAGTGAAGCAAACTGAGCAGCTTTTCTTAGCAGTAGATCGATATTCTTCCGTGTGGAATTCAATCGTCATCATCGAGCTTCCGTACACAATCGATAGTAATCGACGCGTGTTAATAATTGTTACGATCGCGAGTTCGCGACGATAATTCACAAGTCTCTCTTTCTTCTCAAAGTTGGCAAGTGCACCAAGCGCTGCACAAGTCCACTCCTTCATCCCACACACGCTCGCTCTATTTCGAGCCACCGGCCGGCCGGCCGAAAATTCTTTCCGCGCGCAGAAACGAGGATGCGACTGACGGCGACGACGTCACGCGCTCTCGAGCGATCCGATTTAAACCTGGGCGCGGAAAGAAAGAGAGAGAAGAAAGAGGACAGGACTGCAGAGCTGTTATCAGCGCGATCGCGAGGCACGCGCCGCGATAACAGCACGGCCCGGCGACCGTTGGATTCGAGATGGTCGATCGATCGATAAGTGGATACGTCATCGCGATCGATCTCAGTAGCTCTTATCTAGATATCCGAGGATCATCGGGCGCTCGCGCGTTCATCATTGCTCGACGACGCGACCTGTGACCCTCGCGCGCGCGTCACTTCTCGAGCGCGAGAAAAATAGCTCGTGGCTCGTTGATCTCCGTGGCTCGATACGCGCCAATCGTCACCTTCGGCATCGCTATTGCGTGTATTTTTGCGGCTTATCAGTCGTCCGACTGATTTTGTGCGAGCGCCGCCGCGAGAGGTGCGCGACGATTCGCGCTCGTGATTGTCAACGTGACGGAACGACGGTGTTTAGTTGGTAGCAGTGGTGGTGGTGTGTCACGCGATCCCCTTCGACCCGGCCTCTATAAAACTGCACAGCGTTCTCTCTGTCTCTCTGTTCGCAGGAGAATAGTATGTATAAAGAGGTACATCACCAGGAAATCAAACACGAGTGTTCGCGATCGGGAGGACTCCACGCTTATCCCGATCACTTCAGGGAACCTGAGGAGAACCTCTAGAGCCACCGTTGAATTCATGAACATCTGAAGGTTTCTGTCCTCTGGTAGGACTTTGTATATAGTGTACATATATCGCTTGCCTAACACAGATCCCGCCCGGTGGAGGGACGGGAGCTCGGGGAGGATAATATCGTCACGCGGAGCCGAGAAATCGATACAACTGGGGGAGAGAAAAAGAACGAAAACAAAAAAAAAAAAAAGAAAAAATTCGTCGAGAGTACTCTGACATTCTGTTTTCTTCGCGAGGCCGTCGCACGCGCATCCTCAACAGCACACATCAGCAGTAATTAAGGAGAAGAGAGGAAGAGAGAGAAAAGCGCAAAAGAAAGAGATCGAGAAAGGGAATCATGAAGGAAGGAGCGCAGGAAGACTTCTCTCTTGGGTGGAAGCTGCTCACCGCAGGCACCGCGGCCTGCATCGCCGACCTGGCGACCTTTCCGTTGGACACAGCCAAAGTTAGAATGCAAGTGAGTATAATGCAAACATGTCTTCTGCATAATTGTCTTCTGTATACTTACTCGGCCTATATCCTCGCCGCGCGTGCGATTCGCGCGGTTGTCCATTATTTACTGTTTGCCATAGCCCGCAAATCGATATTATCACGATTATGATGTGTACGTTACCCTTCAAGATCGCGGGGGAAGGCCAAGCCTTGCTGCTGGCATCAGCCGAGGGCTCGGTCCTTGCGATGAGAACGGGCCAGCCCGGGCTGTTGCAGACAATCGGCAACATCGTCCGACTCGAGGGAGCGAGGTACGTGATTTATTGTCCTAATAGTAATCTAAGAGACGATGGTAGGTAAAAGAGAAAGAGCTCGAACTTTTCATTCGGTCTGTCGAATATTGTGAAATATTGCGAAACGAGTCTGTATGAGCGCGCAGGGCCTTCACTTGCCCCCGGACGGTGATTCGATTTAAAGCTCAAGTTGAAAGCGCTCGCGAGAGTCGCCCGTGTTTTTGCCCGTGTACAGTAAGCGCTTGCCGTTTTAACTGTTCCATATGTCGTTCGAGTATCAGTCTTTCGGGAACGATATTGTGGGGTACTTCGCAATACACGGACCGCTATTATTAACCAGCCACCTCGTCGCGGCGTGTGCCAGGTCGAGCTGATCGATCCCTTTGTCGATTCGATCTCGACGTAGAGATTATTATTATTAGAGTTATTATTTATTCCAGCACTCTTCGGGGCCAATTTCCTAATGCAAATGTGTAAAAAATTCACGGCAAAGTACAATTTAGATTCACGACTCGGACACAGTAGAGTTTTCTGGTCGATTCCGGGTAATTTCAGGGAAAAATGTCGCGGAATTTAGCCTCTTCAGTGGTGATTTAAAATGGCTCCTCCCCCTCTGGGAGGAGTTTCTTTTTCTTCTTTAATCCTACAGTCGTCGCGCTACTTTTCGTACACGAGTCGACGCATAGGATCTTGAGAGACCTCAATATAAAATATTATTTTATATCTTTTATACTGAGAACTTAAATATTTTCTGTGTTTAACTAGGTTTTTGGGTTCATGTAAAAAAAGACTATTTTATTAATATTCCCTTAAAGACCCCATGCGACGACTAGGGTTAGTATATAAATATATTTATATTTCTTTTCTCTTTATCGCCATTTTCTTCGAAGAACTTTAGATAATAGAGAGTACAAAGTATTCTATATCTAATCTTTATATATTTGTTTGAGTCAAAATAAATACAGTAGTTTGAGTAAGTCAAAATAAATACAGTAGTTTGAGTAAGTCAAAAGGAATTTAACGTTTTATCACGAAGCTTTTGTGTATGCCACTTAAGAGGTTAACTATCCAACAGTCTTGGTAAAGGAAAAAAGACAGGGGAGAGGAAGTGAAACGCGCGAATGCAGATTACATCACATCTGAACGCGGAATATCGTTCGCTCAGTAATTCTCTTTGTCGACATTCCCTGCGCGATTTGATTGCGACGTGACACACGTGCATAACAAACATTTGTAGTCCGCGAACGCTTGTTTAAGCAGTATGACGTAAGTCGATTTGTTTTTCAATTGCGTCCACTCGCAAAGCGCGGTCGAGAAGGAAAGTTCGATCGGGAACGTGATTTCGCGGCTGACAATAACGCGATTCTCATTTTCATTGGTGTACACGCCAGCAGCTCGACATCTGGCACATGCCAGACACAGAACGACGATGCTTCTCGCTCTTCCCGGCAAGTCTCCCCAGCGCTCTGATATTTGCCGGGCGAATATGATTTTTTCGTGGCCTCTCTCGATCGGGTGCCATAGACAAGGACGAGGAGGGCTCACCCAAGTGAAACGATTCATTATGCATACGATACGATAAGAGAGTGGCTTCCAAGGATTCGGTTGCGCATTGCATCTCGGCGAAGGTCGAGCGATGCAGCGAGACGGGAGAGACACTGAGAAAAAAAATACTTGTAACTATAGTCCCACACGGAGAAATAATTATCACAAACTACAGTCCAGAGAGAATCATATTTTAATTAAATTTCATTGTAATACCACATTGAGAGAAAAATGTATGATATTTGGAACTATAATGGCATAGTAAAAAGATAGAAATATAATTTTTATAGTAAATGTTACCATAATATTTGTAATATTTACAATATAAGCATAGTATAACTGACCCGTGTAAAATTTTTACCAAGAATTATAATTATTTGAAATAAAAAGTATAGTAAGATAGCAAATATTAATAGTAGAGAAATTAACTATTTTATATAGTCAATAAAATTGGAATATTTGGCAAATGTAGGTACATGTAACTATATTCCCAAAAGGTGCCTTACCATATATAGAATAATATGTATAGAGTAATAAGATGGTGACTATATAAATCTGTATTCATTCTACTATATCTTCATGTTTAGATGAACTATAAATATATGTTTGAGGCTAAAACAAACTATAAAATATAGTGAGATTATAGTTATTCTAACTATTTTTTTCTCTCAGTGCAGTGATAGTAAACTTGTATGCATGTTATTTACTTCCATTTTGCTACAAAAAATATGGTCGAGAAATAAATGGCAAGGGTAACTGCAATTTTGGTAGAATCAACTGTCTTCTTCTCTCTCAGTGAGCGCATAACGAGCCTTGTCGATGGCACTCCAGTCGATACTTGAAGAACATTCTTGCTATTGTTATTATTATTATTATTTTTACTATTTAATTTTTCTTTCTCACACGCGAGTTGTCTTTCGTCGTGACGAAATTGACGTGAGCCATTGGTCTCTCTCGCGCGAATTGTTTGGGGAATTGCAGCGTTCAAGTTCTGGCCGATGTGAGAAAGCGCGTGCCGCTTTGTGTAAATCTTCGTTTTCGCGATAAATCACGTGTCCCTCTGTCCTTGTCGCTCGACAGAGTCGATTTGTGGGAGGTACAACTCGCGGAAGACAACTCGCAACTAATTCCCCTCATGTTCCCCCCCCCCCCCCC